CAGACAAAGTGCACATTCACCACCAGTGCTCTGCGCGCGATAAGCCCCACCCCGCATGCGCGCACACGGCTGTTACACCCTCGTGCCGGGCAGTTGAGCTCAGAGGAAGGCATGCCGACGCCGCCATCTTGGACTTTTTAACAGAAACTGTTTTCAAGACAAAATGGATAAAATGTAACTAAATACACAAGCTCTTACCTCAGCGGCTTCCTTCTCAAACTTCTCGATGGTTCTCTTGTCGATTCCTCCGCACTTGTAGATCAAGTGACCGGTGGAGGTGGACTTGCCGGAGTCGACATGGCCAATGACCACGATGTTAATGTGGGTCTTTTCCTTTCCCATTGTTTTAGTTTCTGTGGGCAAGATTAAATAAAAATAAAAATTGCGTTAGGCTTACTATTAAGTACCAGTTAGGCTTCGTTAACAGACATGCATGTACAACTAAGCTATCGCATCTTGAGCCCGGCTACATTAGGAAACCATCCCGGCATGTAGGCATAATGAAAGGCGGTGGAAACAAAAACAAAGCCTACTGAAACGTATTGTCTTTTTAATTTATACGGAGTTAAAAACTGAAATTCAACTCCATGACTACTCGGGCGCTAGGCTTTAGCCGCTAGCAGGCGGCTGCTACTGCTAGGCCTCACTCGGCCACAAGCCAGCCGAGACACGTGTTACTCCACTGGGCCACGTCGGATAAAGTTACAAAGATCGCCAAATATTCAGAAGCTCTCTCGTCCGGACTTCAAGCACCTGTTGCCGGATAAATACGGGCAGTTGTTTCAGTGAGGAGAGAGAAGAAATGCCATTCAAGCATCTTCGGATCTCCGGTCTTGCAGCCCTCCTTTGTTCCCGTTGCCCACTCTACATTTTCTCCTCCCTCGTAAAAAATCTTTCGTCAAAAGTTTAAAAACAGCATCCAGTAAACCCACTAACGCACAAACCTCACAAAAAACTATCATGTTAAATACAATCAGGCGAGAACGACCTTTACCATTTTTTAGGATTAATTCCCTCGAAAATTAAATCCACAGGTTAGTGTCAAGTTACGTAACCGAAAAAGCAAAGTTTGGGATTAAACGAAAGAAGCACAAAGAAGATGCTAACGCCTAAACAAATCACGTTTAACTACAACCGTTAAAGGCCCGAGGCCGGGTCCCTCTCTATGTGAAGAATGGGAGCTAAACTCACCGGTGTTTCTGGGTTTTCACGGCCAAAGCTGCTGCCCCTAAGCCAGGTAACAGAAAGAGGAAGACTGGGGCCGGACTGGGAGGTTTTATACTCAATGGGAGGCGGCCTCATTTCCCGTCACCCTCCCCGGCGCAAAACCCCGCAAATCACACACATTCCTGCAAAAAACGTCAGCACGCCGCCGAATGAAGCCCTGCAACATGCATCATGTCTCATCAGTGATATGAATAAAATCAAAAAACATAATAATAATAATTAATTAATAAAATTAAAAAAAATCTCCAGGGGTGAAACGAGGGTGACTTAAAAGATACAGAAAAACACATCTTTAAAGTTAGATTTCACACAAATTCCTCCACTTTTATTATGAAAAGGTGCACACTTTTACATTTTCCAGACATCAGAACACAAAATGCTAGGATGCTGAGGGAAAATAATAATAATCTACTTTAATGCTATTTAAGTGAAATATGTGTAGTATTGTTGTACATTAAAGAGTACTTTTATTATATTTTAGGGTTCTTTTTTCTTAGGTATAAATGATGTAATTTGGCAGCACCTATAGAGCTTTTAGAAAGAAAACATTAGCACCACTCAAGTCAAGGAAAAAATTAACTAGTAGAATGTACTTTACTAAAGCTACGTATACACGTTTATATATTAGGTGGCCAAGAAATGACTGGAAGATGCATAAACTTCTGTTAAGGCAAAAAAGACTCATGTCCATAATAGTCAAGCTTCCATTCTCCCAAAAGGTCTGTTTATGCCAGGAAAAACCCTGATTCTTATTTATTATAATTCAGGCTTATAATTAGCACTGCAGTCAAACCCTTCAGAAAATAATGGGGAAAGGGGATTGCATCTGTGCTTTATTTTTAAAAAATGTTTTAAATATTCATGATAATTCACTGATTTTATGTTTTTCAGGGACATCCGAGCAGAAACGTCACACACAGGTAACAGAATTTTGATTATTTTAATCACAATTTATGTTTTAGAAGTTTCAAACCTCAATCCAAAGTCCCTGAGGACACTCCCCACTTCCAACTACTGTTAACACTGGGTCGTCTCATCAGTCTGATAAGATTATTTAAATCCAATGAGATTCAAAGAGCACCCAGGGTGGGGGGAAAGATGAAACCCCACTGTTTTCAAGACACCCTATCAGCCACACATCTACATTCCTGGCAGCTGGGTGTGAACATGTTTGATTGAATTAAAAGTGGGGGCTTGTTTACAACTGCAAACCAAAGCATGGTGGGAAATCCAAAAATATATATCTAAATCTTAAGAATATTTACAGCTAATGTGGCCACATTTTCTCTGTGCACCTCCCTGGTAAATCTGTACATTGTGAATAATTAAAACAAATAAAATAAAGGTGGAATAAGGCTGAGAACTCGGTCAGAGGATGCTGCTTGGAGGTCAGGAGGTCAGATTCTGCCTCTTCCTCGTCACTCTGGCATGTTGCCCAGCACAGAGGCAGCTGGCTTCCCCTGGTACTCTCTCACATACATACACACTAAATACTGGCTCGGCTTTCTCTTTGCAGTTCAGGTAGCAGGCACTTCGACTTGGCAGCTGCTGCCTTCACTCAGCACCAAGCACAGCGATGGCGAGGGGGGTGGGGGACAGAGTGAAAAGCCTGAGAGGTGGGTAGGGAGATAAGAAGAGAGCACGGAGGAGATAAGAGCAGAAAGAGCGCGGTGTGGAGCAGCAGGACATTTACAGTTGTTAAAGAGCTCATCTTGGCAGGCACCTTTTAAAGTGTAGGTCTTTTTTATATGCAAAACACCAGTAAATGCACTGCTTATGCATGCATGTGAATTGCTCTTAATGTTTGACTATAAACCAGTTCTGCTGTGTTTTACATCTTTAAATATAACCCGTCAGACGAGCTACAGATGAGGAGCCACGCCAATAACACAATGAAAGATTTAAATGTATTCACAGGGTGGATAACTGCCATTCTCCAGGAAGGGTGTAAAAATGTGAGCCTCAACAAGCTCGCAGGTAACTGGTAACCAAACACACCACCTGTGGATGTGATTCTGTGAACCCCTTTCATCATAAATCTGTGTTTTCCCTGCACATAAAAGGGGTTACATGAGCATGAAATACATTTTTGTTTATTAAATGGCCAAGAATTTCAGTTAAGTAAGGTAACACAGGGTCATTGCCTTAACTATAGCCAGGAAACACCCTGTGAATTCATCAAATTTGGACTATCTCACCATCATTACGGAGTTTTTCACATTGTTTCTGTGAATTAGTCAAGCTGCACTTCTCTTTTGTGCTGTCACAGTAGGTGGCAGTGTACCTGGAAAAATAAACAATGAACTTTCAGTCAACCATAAATGAATCAAAAATAAATAAATGCTCTAGCGGCGAAAGGTTGCACTAGCAGTATTAACAGAAAAAATGTGCCTCTGTGTAGGTACACTCATAAACTTTTTTGCATTGCAATAAAATACAAATGAACAAGTTCAGATTATACACACTTGCAGTTTTTCTTTGAGAGTACAAAACTACTATGTGCAGCCCTTCTACCAAACAAAGCCACAAAGGTGCTCAAGGTTTCAACCTGTTTCCTTAAATAGAGTATAGGTTTCTTTTAAACTCTTTCTTTTAAACTTTGAGAAAGTAAAATCACTTGAGGTCCAAACTAACATAGATCATCATTATTTATGTCTAAAGAAGGTAAATGCTACTGTTATGTTATCATTTCCCCATCTGCGAGCATCCAAGGATCCGCTCTCATAAATTTCATATAAATGTTATAATCAAATGGGATCTCCAGGACCTGTGAGGACATCCACATGTCTGCTAATTTTTAAATTTACTCCTTCAAAAGTATGACAACAGCGACTTCTTGTCAGCTGTGTTTGCAATTTATGCATGTTCATTGATTTAAATGGCCAAAAATAACAGGAATATGCTTTGACTTCAGGGAAGTAAGTTAATACAGATTCTTTCATGGAGACTAGTGGTGGTTATGTGCATAGTCGCACCTCAGAGACCCAGCTTGAGGATAAAACCATACCTCCTGACAATCAGCCACTGTGAACCAGAAATGATGCAGTTTTTCTTGACTTTGATGATAAATGATCAATTGCTTGATCTCTGGGACTGGTTTATATTTTGGGGAAATATACTTAAAAAAAAGAGAAGTATATTAAAATATGACACATTAAGTAACACACAGCTTATTTGGATATTTAGTTTCCATCACAAGATAAAACAATGATTTTCCAAACACAGGACCCAAATCCATAACTGTACCTATTAATTACAATTTGTCTGCGGTCTTCAAACGAGGTGACTGGTTTTGACTTGTGAGTGCACAAAAATGTGGACAGGCGTCTTCTGCCAGGCAGTTAGTTTGTACCGTTGAGGTGTTGCCTCTGACCTGGAGCCTGATTGACAGCTGTAAAAATGTCTTCGTAGAAAAAGGATAAGTGTGATAAAATAGGGACTATTTAACCTTTCTCCCTAATTTATGAGGTTGTCACTGATGAGTCAATAAGGAGTCAGGAAGGACCTGAAATTTAGAAAGTCAGTTTTCCAGTCTTTGAAAGGTGGAGTGAAGAAACATGGCAGAGATCCAGGGGTGAATTCAGCATTCAAGGTGATTTAGACACGTAGGCACCTGACCTGTTCTCCCAGGAAAGTGGCTTTAGCTGCGTCTTTGGCAGGCAAACACACCACCCAGCTGCATTCACTTTCATGGTCGCCGGTCACCACTTGGCACATCAAGACCTCACGACCTTTGCACCCATATTTTAGATAACAGATCTTTCTGTGGTAATACTGCGCTCATGTGAAAAATCCACTGGGCTTCTGATCATCTGCATCATATTATATCACTCTATATTTCCTCCAATAATGACCTCAGTTGTAAACATAAAGCTGAGCAAAGTCCTTCTGAAAGCAAGTCCCACCTCGGTCCTCATTTCACTTTTTGGCTTTTCAGTAGTTATTTGGATGTTTTTGAAATGTTATAAATATTAATTACCATTTTATGAAGTAACCAGACATAAAAAAAAAACTGTAGAGAGTCAGAAGTCAGTGAGTCAGTTCAGGTTTCTCTGAATGCTATAATACCTTTGACTTTTAATGCCTCTGAGCAAAATTACTTCCTAACTGACAAAATCAGTAAAAACTAGAAAAATGTCTGAGTTTCGTGAATACCAGCAAAACTGTTTAAATAAATTACACTAGTTTCAAGCAGTGCTCAGTTATTTGATGCACATTAAAAAGACATTCACCATTATTGTTCTTTTATTTGCTTATTAGTTAGAGAGATTTGAGAGCAGCGGCACTTGATTAATAGGTTTGATATTCACTATATTCAACATAAATGTTGTAGTAAACACAAAGTGTTTATAGTTTTGCAGCTATACAGCCATAAAGTACTGAGCATGAAAACTAATTCTCAAAGCATCCTAGTTAGGGCATTAGTAAATGATCCAAATTATTTATTGAACCAATTCCTTCCAAAGCAGAAATTTTAGTCTCACTGTGGTGCTAAAGGGAAAAACTGGGATCACCAATATCAGCGGGATCTATTTTTGGGATAACATGAATCAACCTGTTCTCATCACAATGCAATGTATGCTTCCTGTTTGCCCCCGTCACATATCGTTATCCTTTAGCATTAGGGCTCGAGGCTGTGTCAGCCAGTTACAGATAGCAGTTTCATTTTTACAAGGCACTAACAACAACTTGGTTAGCTTTAGGCAATATTGAGGTTTTGCAGTCATGTAATCACTCACCATGTGAGTGATTGCTGAAGGTTGCTGGCAGTTGCAGGGAAATTGATTATGGTACTAAAGCCCTAGTCACACAGGCATAGAGGGAGTCAGAGACCCTCTGGTCATCAGGAAAAACATGTATTCCCTGACCAGCTGCCAAAAACCTCCTTGTGATTGCAGTGATTGGCACTAACAGATTGTCGTAGTCAGCTTTAGTTTCTACGGAAAGTACCATCTCGTCTGTAAACACTTGCTAGCTAATCTCTGAGTGACAGTGAAACCGTGAAACACAAACCGAAAACAGAGATTGCTCATCTTCAAGGTAAAAAGTTCACCTTTTGTGTTGGTTGCAGCGCTGAGGCCCAAGTCAGCATCCTACAGA